TGCCCCCCCCCCTCCCCCCGCAACGCGGTGCTGTGCGTTGCGCCCCACCCCCCCCCGCAACCCGGTGCTGTGCGTTGTGCCCCCCCCCCCCGCTCCCCCCGCAACCCGGTGCTGTGCGTTGCCCCCCCCGCTCCCCCCGCAACGCGGTGCTGTGCGTTGCGCCCCACCCCCCCCCCGCAACCCGGTGCTGTGCGTTGCCCACCCCCCTCCCCCCGCAACCCGGTGCTGTGCGTTGCCCACCCCCCTCCCCCCGCAACCCGGTGCTGTGCGTTGCCCCCCCCCCGCTCCCCCCGCAACCCGGTGCTGTGCGTTGCAGCCCCCCCCCGCCCCCCCGCAACCCGGTGCTGTGCGTTGCCCCCCCCGCTCCCCCCCGCAACCCGGTGCTGTGCGTTGCAGCCCCCCCGCTCCCCCCGCAACCCGGTGCTGTGCGTTGCAGCCCCCCCCGCAACCAGGTGCTGTGCGTTGCCCCCCCCCGCAACCCGGTGCTGCGCGTTGCAGCCCCCCCCCCGCAACCCGGTGCTGTGCGTTGCAGCCCCCCCCCGCTCCCCCCGCAACCCGGTGCTGTGCGTTGCAGCCCCCCCCGCAACCAGGTGCTGTGCGTTGCCCCCCCCGCAACCCGGTGCTGTGCGTTGCAGCCCCCCCCGCAACCCGGTGCTGTGCGTTGCAGCCCCCCCCCGCAACCCGGTGCTGTGCGTTGCTCCCCCCGCTCCCCCCGCAACCCAGTGCTGTGCGTTGCCCCCCCCCGCCCCCCCCGCAACCCGGTGCTGTGCGTTGCGGCCCCCCCCCCGCTCCCCCGCAACCCGGTGCTGTGCGTTGCGGCCCCCCCCCATGCCCGTGGCTCCAGCTCCACCAGCGGCTCTGTCCCCTTTTCCAGGCGCCGCGCGCGTGGGGGCTCAGGGGCCACCTCGGCCTGTCCTGCAGAACGCAGCCACTACCAACAAACGCCCTGTGGCTGACACCCAGCTGGGACCACGGCGTGGCCCTTCCAGCACATTCTCCCCCAAGACAGAGTCTGAAAATCATCTGCCAACGTCTAGGAGAAGGGAGCGGCCCCCAGGGCGGCCCGGGCCAGGCCACTGTCCCTACGGCCAGTTCACACCCTGGCTGCCCAAGGGGCACAGAGTGGCTTTCCTGCGCTGGAAACACGATGCAGAAATCCCAGCGCCAGCCAGGGCGGGAGGGACACGCTGGCCTGCCCCAGGGGGCGGCCGGCAGGGTGGGGGGCTGGCGGGGATGTGGGGCTGGTGTGGGGATGTGGGGCTGGTGAGGATGTGGGGCTGGTGGGGATGTGGGGCTGGTGGGGATGTGGGGCTGGTGGGGGATGTGGGGCTGGTGTGGGGACGTAGGACTGGCGTGGGGATGTGGGGCTGGTGGGGATGTGGGGCTGGCGTGGGGATGTGGGGCTGGTGGGGATGTGGGGCTGGTGGGGGATGTGGGGCTGGTGGGGGATGTAGGGCTGGCGTGGGGGATGTGGGGCTGGTGGGGGATGTGGGGCTGGTGGGGGATGTAGGGCTGGCGTGGGGATGTGGGGCTGGTGGGGATGTGGGGCTGGCGTGGGGATGTGGGGCTGGTGGGGATGTGGGGCTGGTGGGGGATGTGGGGCTGGTGTGGGGACGTAGGACTGGCGTGGGGATGTGGGGCTGGTGGGGATGTGGGGCTGGCGTGGGGATGTGGGGCTGGTGGGGATGTGGGGCTGGTGGGGGATGTGGGGCTGGTGGGGGATGTAGGGCTGGCGTGGGGGATGTGGGGCTGGTGGGGGATGTGGGGCTGGTGGGGGATGTAGGGCTGGCGTGGGGGATGTGGGGCTGGTGGGGATGTGGGGCTGGTGGGGATGTGGGGCTGGTGGGGGATGTGGGGCTGGTGGGGGATGTAGGGCTGGCGTGGGGGATGTGGGGCTGGTGGGGATGTGGGGCTGGCGTGGGGGATGTGGGGCTGGTGGGGATGTGGGGCTGGTGGTGGATGTGGGGCTGGCGTGGGGGATGTGGGGCTGGTGGGGATGTGGGGCTGGCATGGGGGATGTGGGGCTGGTGGGGATGTGGGGCTGGTGGGGATGTGGGGCTGGCGTGGGGGATGTGGGGGCTGGTGGGGACGTGGGGCTGGCGTGGGGGATGTGGGGCTGGTGGGGATGTGGGGCTGGTGGGGGATGTGGGGCTGGCATGGGGATGTGGGGCTGGTAGGGATGTGGGGCTGGCGTGGGGGATGTGGGGCTGGAGTGGGGGATGTGGGGCTGGTGGGGATGTGGGGCTGGCGTGGGGGATGTGGGGCTGGCGTGGGGGACGTGGGGCTGGTGTGAGGATCTGGGGCTGGTGTACAGTGCTGCAGGGAGTGGTCCCCACTTTTCTACTATGATTTTTTACTATGATTTAGGTCAAAGGCAGAGCCGTGGGGTCCAAAACAGCACTGGGGCGGGCGGCTGTGGTCAAGCCCGGACCTCACACACAGCGCTGTGACCTTCGGTAATTTGCTTGACCTCTGTGAACCTCCGTCCCTCATCTTTGCTGCCCAGGATTCTGCAAGGCATAGATAAATCACACGCGGACGGGCAGGGGTCTCCACAGCCTGCTCCCCGGCCCAGCTAGCCTCGCTGCTGTTCTAGAATTTTATCCCATGGCTCCCTTCCAGCCGCCCCACTGACCAGCCTCACGCCCATCCTTTGCGTGCTGTTCCCACGGGCTGAACGGACCGCGCCTCTCCTCACTTCTGCGCGGTGCCCCACGGTGCACACGGCTGCGGACTGCCCCTCCCGCCCTCGGTGCCGGCCACGTTGGAGAACAACCTGAGGTGTGATTTTTTCACGCTATGAGGCCATGCTGACACACGCTCAGGCTCAGCTCCGGCCAGACTGGCTCCTTACGCGTGGGGCTGAGTCCTCAGCTCCTCCCTCCCCCAACACCACCCAGGCTCCCTGCTGTGGTGAGGGAGGGCGGCCAGCCTGGAGGAGGCAGCCTGGCCTACACGCAGAGCCGCTGGCCGAGTGTGTGTGAGGCCCCGCACAGTGTGGAGCTGGGACTGCAGTGGAGGGCAGGAAGGTCCAGGGCCCCCTCCCCTTCCTTCCCTGCCATTCCCTCCCGTTCACCACCCCCTGGCTCCTCCTCCTCTTTCCTCTCTCCGCTCTTCATCGCCCTGGTGACCTCCACCATTTCCCCTGAGGGAGTGTTTTCATGACTGAATACGTCTATCAACCTAATTAGCACTAGATTCTCCCTTCCTCCCTCCCTTTCTCTCCCTCTCCCCCCCCCCTCAACTCACGTTCTCCATGGGGGAGGGAGCTTCTGACTTCTCGCTGAGCTGGTTGCCTGTGGGGAGGGGACTGGGCAGGTTGTATAAAGTGATTTAGGGTTGGTGGGGGTCCTGGGGTGCTGGGCAGCAAGGAAAGACTTCATGCCCTGGAAGCCCCAATAAAAGCTGCCCACCACATGCAGTAGAAAGATCATACTCCCTACGACTATCCGCCAGCCTCCAAATGCACTTTCTACCTGTGCCTGGCTGGGTAGGGTCTGGGGCCTGGGGTCTGGGGCCCGGGGTCCGGGGCCACATCCACAGAAAGGGGCTGCCTGGAGATTCTGCCCCTCAGCAGAACTGGAGCTTGTCAGAGGAAAGACTGAGAGCGGCCAGGGAGGAGGAGGCGCCGGCCTCCTGCGGGAGTTTATCAGGGAGGGAGGTCGGCCACACAGCAGCAGGCAGCCGGGTTAGCTCGGACAGCTGGGGAAAGCAGGAAGCCGGGGGCACACCAAACAGATGGACTAGCATGTGAAAAGGGTCTGTGGCTGGCAGGGGCGTGCATGCACACACACACGTGTGTGTGTGTGTGTGTGTGTGTGTGTGTGTGTGTAAAAGAAAGGAAGGGGCCTGGAGGGCTGGGTGGAGGAGGGGGCCTGTGCCATGGCCGTGCAAACACGGTGACTTAGGTGCCCTCTGCAGCCCTCTGCAGGGCTGGGGGCTCCGGCCCTCACTGGGTCCCCACCCAGGAGACCTGGCCAGAGGCAGGGCAGAGCCTCCACCCTCAGTGGGCGCCCAGCACCTCTGGGTCCCAAGAGGCTGCTCTGCACACTGCCTGGAATGCTGCCCCCCCAGCTCGGCCCCCACCCCGGACGCTGCTCCCCCAGCTCAGCCCCCACCCCAGATGCTGTCCCCCCAGCTCGGCCCCACCCCGGACGCTGCCCCCCCAGCTCAGCCCCCACCCCAGACGCTGCCCCCCCAGCTTGGCCTCCACCCTGGATGCTGCCCCCCCAGCTCGGCCCCCACCCCGGACGCTGCCCCCCCAGCTCAGCCCCCACCCCAGACGCTGCCCCCCCCAGCTCAGCCTCCACCCTGACGCTGCCCCCCCAGCTCAGCCCCCACCCCAGACGCTGCCCCCCCAGCTCGGCCCCCACCCTGACGCTGCCCCCCCAGCTCGGCCCCCACCCTGACGCTGCCCCCCCAGCTCAGCCTCCACCCTGGACGCTGCCCCCCCAGCTCAGCCCCCACCCCAGATGCTGCTCCCCTAGCTCGGCCCCCACCCCAGACGCTGCCCCCCCCAGCTCGGCCCCCACCCCGGACGCTGCCCCCCCAGCTCGGCCCCCACCCCGGACGCTGCCCCCCCAGCTCGGCCCCCACCCCGGACGCTGCCCCCCCAGCTCGGCCCCCACCCCGGACGCTGCCCCCCCAGCTCGGCCCCCACCCCGGACGCTGCCCCCCCAGCTCAGCCCCCACCCTCGATGCTGCCCCCCAGCTCAGCCCCCACCCCAGACGCTGCCCCCCCAGCTCAGCCCCCACCCTCGATGCTGCCCCCCCAGCTCGGCCCCCACCCTCGATGCTGCCCCCCCAGCTCGGCCCCCACCCCGGATGCTGCCCCCCCAGCTCAGCCCCCACCCCGGATGCTGCCCCCCCAGCTCAGCCCCCACCCCGGACGCTGCCCCCCGAGCTTGGCCTCTTGCTCCTTGGCTTCTGTCTGTGGGTGGCACAAAGAGCTGCCCAGTGCCACCAAGAGCCCTGTCCTCACACAGCGCTGGTGCTCAGGGTCACTGTCCACCCGAGCAGAGGCCGCGGCGTGGAGGGTGCCTGGGTGGAACATGCCGCGGGGGCTGGGACATGCCGTGGGGCTGCGACGTGGAGGGCGCCCGGCTGGGACACACCATGGGGGCTGGGACACACCATGGGGGCTGGGACACACCATGGGGGCTGGGACACACCATGGGGGCTGGGACACACCATGGGGGCTGGGACACACCGCAGGGCCGCAGCGTGGAGGGCACCCGGCTGGGACACACCACGGGTACTGGGACACGCAGCGGGGCCCTGGCGCGGAGGGTGCCCAGCTGGGACACACCATGGGTGCTGGGACATGCTGCGGGGCCCTGGCGTGGAGGGCGTCCGGCTGGGACACGCAGCGGGGCCGCGGTGCGGAGGGTGTCTGGCTGGGACACGCCGCAGGGCCACAGCGTGGAGGGCGCCCAGCTGGGACACGCCATGGGGGCTGGGACACGCCGTGGGGGCTGGGACACGCCGCGGAGGCTGGGACACACCGCGGGGCCACGGCGTGGAGGGCGTCCAGCTGGGACAGGCAGCGGGGCCCTGGCATGGAGGGCGCCCGGCTGGGACACACCACGGGTGCTGGGACACGCCGCGGGGCCCTGGCGTGGAGGGCGTCTGGCTGGGACACGCCGCGGGGCCCTGGAGCAGAGGGTGTCTGGCTGGGACACGCAGCAGGGGCTGGGACACACCGCGGGGCCCTGGCGAGGAGGGCGTCCGGCTGGGACACGCAGCGGGGCCGCGGCGCGGAGGGCGTCCGGCTGGGACACGCTGTGGCCCCACGGCATGGAGGGGGTCTGACATGGGAGTGGAGACAGGAACACAGCTGTGGGCCATGCACCTACTGCAGACAGGACAGGGCTGTCTTTCACAGATTGGTGCTGACCAGCCAGGCCCCTGGCTGTGTCCTGGGGGCTGGTAGGAGGGAGGACATGTTCGCTGTGTGGGGCGTGCTGTCCCCTCCCCAGCCCCTTCCTGTGTCCCTCCAAGGCCACAGGAATTCCTGACAGGGAAAGCTGAAAGATAGGTCCCCACTGCGCAGCCAGCTGTCCTGCTGAGGGGCCCGGAGCCCCCAGAAAGGCCAGAGCGCTGACCCGGCCCAGCCCCGGGTCCCAGGGGCCCTGTCAATCAGCTGGGCCGGGGACAGACCAGACCGGGACAGGTCGGCGGCTTGGAAGAAAGCTGGGCCTTGTTTTGAAAGAGTCTTCGTGGGCGTCTTGGGTCTCAGGGATGCCTGTGTGGTCACACGGGACACTGGGCGTGGGGTGCAGCCCCCTTGGACCTCGGGTAGCTGTGTGGGGGCGGCACGGGGCGGCGCAGGCGGGACAGGCGCATTTTTATCCCGTGTTGAGCAACGTGGTGGCCTCCATCCCCACTGGGGGGTCAGGACCCCAGTGAGAAGCCCCAGAAGGGTTTCGAAGTTTCTCTTTCAGAGGACAGGGAATGAAGGGGAAAGGCCAGGGGACGGGACATCCCACTGCAAGTCAGAGGGGCCGGTGGGGTGTGTGTGAGAGAATGGGAGATGGCTAGTCTGGAGAGATCTGAGGAGAGGCCCAAGGAGAGGCCCGAGGAGAGGCCGGCGGAACAGCAGAGAGCCAGCTCCTTCTCACATCCCGGGTGGCCTCGGAGCACTCTGCGGTGAGTCTCTCTGGCCTCCTCGCTGTCTAGCAAGCCCCTGCGCTGTCAGGCCCGCCTGCTCAAAATGGATGGAGAAACCTCCACTTTGGGACCCACTCTGGATCACATCAAGAAAAAGTAGAGGACAAAGACGACAAGTCCATCAGAATCCACCTGCGCCCAGGGTGAGGCCTTCTCGGGGCAGATTTCCCCAGGGGGCTTCTGGGCCATCATCCCCATGGAGGACAGAGAGGGACAGGGGGCCCCGTGCTCGGGCTGCAGCTGGGCCCCGGGTCCAGGCCCCCAGTGGGCTGGGGGAGCCTGGGGGGGCTGTCCCCTTGGCCAGCCAGACCGGCCTGAGACGGCCCCAACATCTTGATGACAATCCCTTGACAATCTGGCAGAGACGTCTCAGCTATCTCTTCTTATTGTTTGGTGGAACTAGGATTTGACTTCATGGCCTCTTATTTCTAGGCAGGTGCTCTCCCTGGATGCCAGCCACACTTCTAGCCCTCCTTTGTCTTCCTGGGGCTGACCCAGGCCCCAGTCCTCCTCCCCACACCTCCTGCACAGCAGGGGGCAAAGAACGAGCCACCCCCACACCCTGTTCATGAGCTGAGATGGGGTCTGACTAACGGTTTGCTAGGGCTGGCCTCAAACCGGGAACCTCAGGATCTCGGCATCCAAGCTGCTGGGATTCAGGTACCCCGCACCGTGCCCAGCCTCTGGATGGGAAGCAGGGATCCCATTGAGGACTTGGCAGGCCCCGTCTGCTTGTCCCCACCCTGAGATCCCCTGGGCTCTCAGGACCGCAGACCCGGCCCTCTGGATGGTGGGCACCTGCTATTTGCCACAGTTGCCTCCCCTGGCTTCCTGTCTTTCCTCCCCGCTTCCTGCAAACTTCAAACAGCCAGTGGCCTGGCAGGTCGGTTGATGGGAAGCAGCGGCCCTGCTTCACCTCCTACTGCCAAGGTGACCCTTGAGGACGCGGTGCCCAGGGAAAGGAAGCCACCGGACATTTCCGCGACTCATTGTCTTTTAAAAAATTACAAGCAAGGCACCTTTGCTCTGGACTGTGTTTCCTTCCTTCCTTGAGTGATTGCATCTGAGTGGCCACAGTGCCCCTAGTCCCCCGAAGCCTGGCAGCCAGGCCTGCCAGAGCCCTGGGGCCCTGGAGACTCTGCCCCAAGCGCTCCGCGCTGCTGGCCGCTTGGGCGCCGGCTTCCTGCCTGGGCGTGCATGGAGCTCCGGCTGGGGGTGGGAGAGGGCTGCGCACAGGTCTCCCACGCGTGTGCATGGGTATGTGCACGTCGACACGCAGTCACACCACAGTACATACACCGTGGATTTTCCACACACTCCCAGCGGCTGTTGGCTCGGGCTCAAACACACGTGACCTTGTCACAGACTCTGACACACTGGTGCCGGACCAGAATGGGACATGGGCTGGTGGGTCACGCTGCAGCCCCTCGCCCCCAGGGGCCATGCCGCTGTGTCCTGCTGCCCCCCCCCCACGACAGGTCCGCTCTGCCCCCTCTGCAGCTCGCACAAAGAAGAGGCCCTGGGGCTGTGGGATCTACCTGTGGACGCCACCTTCCCCATGAGTGGAGTGAGCGCCACGCCGGAACATGCTGGAACATGCCAGAACACACCCCACGTGCTCTCGGCTCAACTCCAATGGGAATCAGCTGGTAAAAAAGCGCAGCATCTCGGTGGAGAGCGGGGTGGTGGCGCCCGGAGCCCGCACACAGCAGACCGCTGTGGTGGACCGTGAGGTCAGGCGGGGCCGGGGACAGAGGGGACCCCACAGCTGGCATATGAGACGCGGGTCCCTGACACCATCGACCGCGCAGGCAGAGACCAAGGGGAAGGCGTCCATCACCGGGCTCCGTCCGCACCGGAGGGCCCGGCTGCCGCCCAACCCGCAGCGTCAACACCACACCAGCACCCTGGCCGCCCGTGACCATAACCACAGTGACAACGGGGGAGGGGGGCGGCTATCAGAACCCGACACCGTCCTGGCTCTTATCTCTGCAGCCGTGTCCTGACAGCAGAGAGGGCAGTGATGGAGAAGAAGGGAATGTGTTAATGGTGGTGGTGGTGATGAGGATGAAGATGATGGTGGTGGGTGATGAGGATGAAGATGATGGTGGTAGTGGTGATGAGGATGAAGATGAAGATGATGGTGGTGATGAGGAGATGAGGATGTTGGTAGTGGTGATGATGGTGGGGAGGTTGTACTGGAGCTGGTGATGTTGGTGGTGGTGGTGATGGTGATAGTGTTTTGCTCCATTAAACCCAAAGACCATCTCCACAGCCACTCCCCTGCAGTGTGAGTGTCGTGAGTTGTCGCCAGATTCCAGCCCCTCACCTTCCATCCGGCAAATGCGCTGCTTTAAACAGCTCCCTCGAAGATCAGAACCAGGCTCCAAATCCAGCGTGCCTCTGGGCTGGGGCTGTGGGTCGTGCTCTGCCAGCCACGCACCCCGGCCACACTCTGCCGGCCTCACACCACCAACTACACGCTGCCGGCCACACGCCGCTGGCCACACACCTCTGGCCAGTATGCGCTACCCGGCTTCTGAGCCCGTCAGAACGTGACCCTTCAAGCCATCCGCAACGCGCTTGTCCCGAGGCCAGAGCCTGGGGTCACGGCCACGGGGAGGCCATGGTGCATCCGCAGGGTAGGCATCTTCCTGATTCTTCCTGAATCTTCCAGGTTCCCCCAGCGTGGGGCTGGGTTTGCAGGAAGTGAGGCGCGGCACCTTTACTTCCCCACAGCCTGCCCGGGAGAGGCCGCGCAGGGCAGAGGGCTGCAGCTTCCTGCTCCGTTGGCGCCCACTTCCTCCACTGCGCTTTCCAGGGGGTCGGACGGACGGATGGATGGGTGGTGGCTCAGTGAAGGCAGCAGGAGGCCAGAGCTGAGGACCAGCTGGGCGGATGCAGGACTGGGGCTGGAGGACAGGGAGCAGCAGCAGCCACCTGGAGCTCGGTCTCTCCCTCCACCGGGAGGCCGGGTCTCTCTCTCCTCTGGGAACTCAGTCTCTCCCTCCACCGGGAGGTCGGGTCTCTCCCCAGCGTGTGGCAGCCAGCGGGAAATTCCATCCCCAATCGTAAACAGAAACCAGCGTGCCATTTGGTGGCACTTGTTTTTTATGAGGTTTTTCCCACAGGCAAAAGGGATTTTCGCCATGGCGGTGGAGGGAGGCCCCGGGGGGCCGTGGGGTAGGCTGGAGCAGAGCCGTGGGCCGGCTCCCCAGCCTCGTTTCCCAGGCGCCTGGGCTTGGGGAGGAGCATCCTGAAGGGAGTCAGGAGGGGATTCCAGCCACATCACTCCCTCGGAGGTGAGAGCCACGCATGGACGCCCAACCACACCGTCTGACCACGCCGTCACCTGATCACGCCTTCATCTGACCACGCATCACCTGACCGCACCGTCTCCCGACCACGCCGTCACCTGGCGGTGGGAGGCAGACTCTACCCCGGCTGCCTTCTCACCGGGAGCCAAGGCCGCAGCACCACAGCCTGGCCGCTCTGGGGCCTCCGGGCCGCCAGCTACGCTTGGGCTCTTCTGATTGGAAGTTCCCAGCCTAGGCGCCATTGTCCACAATCATCTGTGTCATGTCAGAACCCGGAGCTGACACACAGGAATAACATTTCACCTGTGGTCTCGGGCAGCCAGCCGGCCAGATGGGAGGAGGGAGGGCCTCGGTGCCCTGTCTGGGTTTGGTGGGAACGCTTCCCCCCGCTTTGTCAGATGTCTAGGTTCATGTGGCTGGACGATGGCACACCGACAGACATGGTGGGGACAGAAGGTCCACTGTCCGTCCATGCGTGCCTTGCATGTGGCCCGGGCTGTCCTCTGTGGCGGCCTGCGAGCCTCCGTGGGGCCTGCAGTGTGGGGAAGAGGTGGAAGCAGCCATGGGCAGCCACGGCACGGGGGCTCTCCTGGGTGGCTGGGCTGGACACGGTCCAAATGTGTCAACGTGGAAACAGCCCAGGGTGCGTCCACACTCAGGATCCCATGAGCCACTGCCGGGGGCCGGGGGCGGGGAACAGCTGGCCCGCAGGACTGTGGGCCATGGCCCCTCACGGTCAGGGCGTCCCAAGCTGTGCCACTCGGTGCCCTTAGTGACTGAAGTGTCCGTCATGGGCCATGAGGGCTCGACCC